GGCTAAAGGAAGTTACCTCTAACTAAAGTTACCTCTAGCTAGCTAAAGTGAGATACTTTAATGACAGGAAGTTGAACCACATTGCCCTTAATAAAATTTATAATTAAAAAACCATAGTTGGGGACATATTCCTCATGATCATTAATGTAGATGGAAGTTTCTGTCCTGCCCAATCCTATGGCCTTTTAGTCCCAAAGAAACACACAGAGGCTTATATTAATTATAATATTAACTAGCTCTTATGACTTAAATTCACCCATAATTATTACCAATATTTAGCCATATGACTTGGTACCTTTTCTCAGTAAGTCTTTCTCATCTTTCTTTCTCTATGCCTGATTGGTGACTGTGTTTCTCTTTTCCTTTTTCCAGATTTTGCTTAGTCTGATTTCCCCACCTATACTTCCTGTCTGGTTACTGGCCAATCAGCATTTTCTTAAACCAATATTAGTGACAAATCTTTACAGAGTACAGAAGTATTATTGCACAGCACATTAAGGACTAGGGGTCTAAGAGATGGCTTATCAGTAAAGTATTTGCATACAAGCATGAGGACTTGACTTCAATTCCCAGAACCCATGTAAAAAAGTTGGTTATGGGTTCTGGGGAAATAGTTCAGTGGGTACACTGATGGCCTCCCAGATTGGAAGATAAAAGTTAGGATTCCCAGCACTCATGTAAATATCAGGCAGCCATGACAGAGACAGTGTCCTTGTGGTAAGATGGCTAACTAGAAGACTTGAATTAGTGAGTTCTGGGTTTAAGAAAAATCAAGATGAATACTCAGACAAAAATGCATGTGTGCATACACACAAGCCCCCCTTCACATAAACATGCACACAGACCACACACACATACACATGATAAAACTAAAGGCTGAGTATAGTGGTGCATGCTTACAGTCTCAGCACTGGGGATCCAGAGACAGGTGGATCCCAATTCAGCTACCTCGTCAGTGTAGCCTGATGAGCAAGTTCCAGGACAGTGAGAGACACTGTCTCCAAAACCCAAGAATAAAGAAACTGAGAAATAACACCCAGGGGTGACACCTGGCCTCCACATGCCCCCCAAACACATGCATGAATTTAAAAAGATGGATAAATATGGAGATAGGGGAAGATGTTTGATCTCTCATCATCAGTATACAAGGAAAAGAGAGAGCAGAAATTCTACCTCTTTTCAATGAAATCAAAATAGTAAAGACAGTCCCTTAGTGATGTGCCCTCCTCTACCATTATTGCCAGAACTGCCTTCCACTCCTGGATGAGACAGGAATGAGCTGGTGGTCACCCTAGTGTGTTCTCATGATGGTCCTGGAGACATCTGGCCTCCAGGTAATCTGTACTGAGACATTATCTAGTATCTATCCAGCAGACTGACAGTTATCAATCAATTCCAGGGCTTGAACTGAGGTGAGCCAAGCATGAAGGCTCTCTCTTTCTTCCAAAGTTTCCCAGGCACTGAAAGAATTTAGGGTCTATGTTGTAAAGACCAATAAACCTTAACAGTCTCTCCACTAATATTGTGGTGGCAGGCTCTCTGGAGTGGAAAATATGCCCTTCTTAAGAGTTCCCCTGCCTATCTCTGTACATGCTCTGCCCTGAACACATCACTCAGGAGAACATGGGGCTGCCTTTCTCGGCTCCTACAGCAGCTAGATGCAGTCTGGGGTGAAGAGGAATGGACTGCTGAGTGCTAGGAAGTGGTCCTCAGAAGCTGCACACTGGAACTGAGGAGAGAAGGAGCAAGGCTTGGGAAGGTAAGGTGGACTGAAGTGAAGGACTAAGATGTCCATGCCGACCCTTCCAACCTAGTCCATCCAAAACCAGACTGGCCTCCACACGGCTCTATGCTAGTGGGCAAAAAGCAAGGCTTGGCTCAGGTACTAAGTCACTGAAAGTGGAAGGGGGAAGGGCTGCTGTTTCCTCCACCAACCATGTGGCTTCGCATCTCTCCCACTCCCTCTACCCAACAATAACGCAACTGCAAGCGGGGCCAGCCCTCTTATGATGACAGGAAAGGGACACAGCCCTCTTATGATGACAGAGGAAAGTCTGGTGTTGTCAGTCTGGAGGGGGGCGGGACTTAATGTGTCATGCCATCTTGCTTATGTGTCTTGGCCTCAGCTCATCTAAAGGGAGGAGATGGCTCTTCCCTCTGGTCACATGTTCTCCCAAGTCTGACTGGTGGCTCTTCTGGCCCTCCAAGACCCGCTCCAGAATTAATGAGCACATCTCCTATTGCTCCAGTATCTGGGTATGCTCTTCAACAGCCACCAGATACAGTGTGAGCGCTGGCCGCATGATATGGTCCTTATGGACAAGATCATGACTCTAAAGGAGGGTGCAGCCAGTGAGTTACTGCAAGACTTAGTCAGCACCTGAGTGCTCTGTGACAGATATTCGCACTGAAGAAAGCCTGCCTGCCTTTGAGACGGGAGCCAGGGCTCACTGGCTACTTCACCCATCCTTAGCAGCAGCAGGATGTGAGTCTCTGTTATATTTGACTTGGCCAAGAAGCTCTGGACGAGAACTGGTTACATTTGTGCCTGTGGGCTGCACATTACCCCTGACTGCAGCCATGTGCCCAGTCTCTGACAATGGCATCTGCTTGTGTCCCTCATTTGCTCTACAGTTCCCTGGGGGAGCTGGAGCCCTGCCCTGAGCCATAGCCTGCTAGCTCGGGCCCTGACAACCTGCCCGTTGCCATCTGCTGGCTAGCATCCTCTTTAAACCTGAAGGGGGGCACCCACGGAATCAGGAAGCTGCCACCTGCCCCGGAGCACAGCTGTTGACTGGATGTTGCTGTGGGGCCTCCATTTGCCTGTCTGGATCAATCAGGTCAGACAAGTGGAAGGGACAGCACCATGGCCTCAGCAGGAAGCCTACAGCAGGTGGGCCCTGCTTCTAGCTGCATGTATCGATACTCTGTGAGTTCCCCAGGCTGCAGTATCTGCACAGACAGTCCTCGTCACCAAGCGAGCAATCTCTAGACTTGCAGCCAACACTGGCTTGGCTGTTTGTTCATGCCACAATGCAAATGGGGTTCTAGAGCCTAGTGCTGTTAAGGGCACAGATAGCACAATTTTACATCCGATAAAAAGCAGTTCTAGAGTAAACCAACAGACTCCAACTTTAACATAGCTTTGAAGACAAAGTCTTCAAAATGTTTCTAAGACAAACACTAACCTTAGTACACATACTAGTGCATTTTACATTGATATAAGTGTGAGCAGTGCAAACACCTGCAAGTGTTACCTTGCAGCAGTCCCCAGGAATCACACTTCCCACACGCATCTCAGCCCAGCTCCTGTGTATGCCATCAATGAGCAACCACAGAGCTAGGGCCAAGGGACACTCCCAAGAGTTGTGGAATGAACGAACAAATAACCAAATGAAACAGCAGAGTCAGTGATGCATCAATATGGTCATCAAACATGCTCAGAGATGCTAAAACTACGGAGGAGGGAGATGGGTCCAGAGTGTCCATTTGGCAAGGTGAAGGGCTAGAGATTGATCACTCAGTAATGTGAATTTACTCAACACACTCAGCTACACGTTTAGAAATAGCTGGGCTCCTTGTGGACCAGGACTTGGTCTTGTTCACCCTGGGCACTATGCTCTAAATCAGTATTTGATAAATGTACGGGAACACTGAACACTGAATGGATCTTGCTCAGTTGTAAGTTCATGACCACATGGTGGTCGGTGGCAGGGAAGTGCTTATTTAGACATCACAAACTGGAATTGTAATGGAATGGCATGATTCATCCTCTCAGATACCTCTTATCTGCTTCTTCTGAGTTATTTCATGGTGGCAGCTTTTCAGACACATCCCCTCCTTTTCCCCTTCCCCCATGATTGGCATCGCAGGTTCGCTTGAAAGACCTGCCGTTCCTTGTGGGACTGTGGAGAGGCTCACCTTCAAACTACAGATGCTGCCGTTCCTGCCTGTCCTCTCCACTGTGATTCCCACTGAAAGCAGGAAGTTCCTGCTGCCTCCTGCAGCTGTGCGTCCTCTATCAGAGCATGGCTCTAAATCCCAGCAAGCTCCAAGTCCTATCAATACCTCCCAGCTTGAGTCCAGCCTCCAGGATCCCTCACCGCAGCTGGTGTTTCCAACATCACCTGTGTTGTTCACATTGCACGGTCCCTGGTCACTTTGGAGTAACCTCTGTGCTCTAGGGTACAGCCAACTTAGCCACAGCTTCCCAGAGCACAGAAGCAGAGTCCCACATCACTCTAGCCACAAATTATATATTACACCTATTTTTATTATATATAAGATATATAATATTATATACAATCAGTTTGACCACCTCCCCAGAGAACCGTAGCATTAAAACAGCAGTTTCATAAACTATTTTCATCCCCTACATACTTCATGCATATTATCTGCATCCACCCTTTCATGCGTTTCTTAACGTTCTATGTGAAATCAGTCAACATTCTACAGCTCCCTGACTGTTTTGCTAATTGGTTTTGATACTGAATTGTCTTGTTATAACATTAAATACAAAGGTTTTTTTCAAGAAGCATTTCCTTCAGCAATTACTGTAAAATCACAAGGTAGAATCCGATTTCTATAGTTTTTATACTTTGATCCGGGCAAGAGGTGGAGGAGCACTAAGAAATTCACAAAGGAACCTTCCGTTTTTCCAAACAGTTCTGTAGCCAGACAAAACCAAACCACCACAAACACACAAAGGCTGCAGCATGTGACCTAAGAAAGACAGCAGGGGATGCAGAAAAGGTGTGGGAATGATTCAGGAAAAAATGCTGGCTGTTCTAGGTCGGCTGCTCCTGCGGGGACAGCAAGCAATCGCAAGCAATCGCGCGGACTGTTCTTGGAAGAACACTGACATGGACTCGTCAGTCCCACACTTTTGCTGTTTAACTGCAGCAATTTGCCTCCTTACCCTCAGGTCCTCTTCTTAACCGTCAAGGTGGTTTTGGTCTCAGGATTCCCCCCTCCCGACCCCCCAGAGAGTGCCCACTCACCCTCTTCCTCGAACAGAAGGCCCATGTGCGCCTGCGCCTCTGCTTCTTTCTTCCCACCATCAACTTTGATCAGCTGAGCAACACTAAAGCACCGTTCATAGAAGTGATTCCGCACCCACTTGTCTTCAGAATTATCGAAGTAACAGGCCAGAGCGTATAAATTGTTATACACTTCTTCGTAGTATTCTGTACAAAGAGGAAAAACCAGACTGCATCAGAAACACCGCTCAGGACACAGAATACTGCAAATTACTTCCATATTTTTCTTAAATCCATGGTCAACTGTCTTGAAAACTAAAATTGACGCAAAACATCATTTAACTGTTAAAAGAATCACATTAATCAAAGGACGTAGGCATGAGGCAAGCAATAGGCAGGCGTCTTTCCAAAAATGCAGACACACTAGAAATTGAGACATATTTCATTGTAAAAGGACTTACTTATATAACAGAACTGTACAATACCTGTTAGGAATGTGGTCCTCTTGGAGGAGGATAGTGGGGTCAGTGGTTTCATATTTATATATGGAGGAGGGTGAGAGGAAAAGGGGCAGGAGGGGACTGTTCCATATCCCAGTGACGGGTCTAAAGGCATGCATCACTAAGCCTGGAGAAATCAATGTTTCCAAACCATGGCAAAATAAAAGCAAATGCAAAAGGAGAAAAGGAAATAGAAGCCCAAGATACTTAGGGCAGGATGATATGTGTGTGTGTGTGTGTGTGTGTGTGTGTGTGTGTGTCTCCATTTTCTACCAATCATTCAAGAAATGTAAGTGTGTGGTGAGGCTAAAAATGTAGACGTCCATGCTTCTGTTTGGGATATGTTTTAATTGAAAATGTGAGCATACCAGTCATTTCTTTTACTCAAATTTCTGGTAATTTGTTACACGCATCTCCTACTTTTTTTTTTTCCTAGAGTAACATCTGTATTTATAAGTGTCTGACCACGTGTATTTGTGTAATCTGTTTCATGAATGCTGCTACAATAGTGAACTTGAACAAAGCTGTGTGCATGGGAACAAAGTGTGCCTTGATCCTGTAAACCTAGGGGCCCACACTCGCCTCAAACACACGACAATCTTCCTGGCTCTGTGTAACCTGACATCACGGTAGTAGGAGTGAGTCACTGCAGCCTTGACGAAATGACCTTTAAACAGCAGTCACTGTGCACAGGAGTCAATAGGGAGTGGAACTTAGGAGGTGTGGCTTTGTTGAGGTGGGCTTGGTCTTGTCAGTGGAGGTGTGGGGGCAGGCTTTGAGGATTCTTATGGTCAAGATATTGCCCAGTGAGTCAGTTGACTTCCTGCTGCCTGCAAAATGTAGTTCTGTCAGCTACTTCTCCAGCACCATGTCTGCCTCCACACTGCCATGCTCCCACCACCATGATAATGGACTGAAACTGTAAGTGAGCGTCCTCAATTCCATGTTTTCCTTATAAGAGTTTCCATGGTCATGGTGTCTCTTCACAACAGTAGAAGAAACCCTAATTAGGACAGAAATTGGCACCAGTGCCTAGGGTATTGTTGTGTTGGGCCTGACCCTGTGTTTGTGCAGAGAAATTTGGACTTTTTACTTTGGGTCAGGAAAGCAGTGGAATGCTTTAAGCACTGTTTAATGGGCCATGCTAGTAGGAGCATGGAAGACAGTGGTGCTAAAAATTATTTGAACTCTGGGAGACTCACTCAAAAGGTTTCAGAGGAACAGAATTTTAGTATGTTGATTAGAGATTGTTCTTCTGATATTTTGGTGAAGAAAGTGGTTGCCTTTTGCCTTTGTTCAAGGAGTCTGTCTGAGGCTAAGAGCTTTGGATTAATTCTGTTGGCAGAAGAAACCTCCAAACAGCCTAGTATAGACTCTGTCATGTGATATTTAGTGGTAACTCTAATGAAGATTTATAATGAAAAAGAGCAAGCTGAGCAGAGTAATTACAGAATGAAAAGAAAACCAGACATGGAATGGAGCTCAGTCCTGTGCTCAGTGAGGTAGCTGGATTAAAAAATGGAGTAAAGGGAGCCATGACCTCAAGGCAAAATTCCATGCAACTAATTTTCCAACTTGTGAAAAGGGAGTAAAGAAAAGCTGAGAGCCCAGGTGTGTTGGGGCACACCTTTAATTCCAACACCAGGAAGGCAGAGGCTGGTGGATCTCAGAATTTGAGGCCACCCTGGTCTACAGAGCAAGTTTCAGGACAGACAAGCTTAGGCAGTGAAGGAAGGAATCTAGGAAGACCGAAGAATGAGGGGGCCGTGTTACAGGTCTAGTCACGTGATTCTGGATTTAGAGTTAAAGACAGAAGAAAGGAGTTAGGGAATAAAGTTACCGAGGCCAGGGATGTGTCAGGGGTGTCCCTAGTAGAGAGGCCATATGTGAAGCTGTGAAGGTGAAGCCTGGACTGCCTCGGAGACCCCAAGGTGTTAGCGATATCAGTCATGGCATAGCTGCCGAGGAGAGTGGCTAACAGGAAGTGGAACCAGCCCAAGAGACAGAAGTGTCCTGCACTCAACAAAGCTGAATGGAGTTAGGGATCTGAAGAGCGTTTTAGTTGCACCAGACATAGAGATGCAGTTTGGAGTTTGCCCAGGTGGTTTTTGGTCTTGCTTTGGGTCCTGTATTTTCTATGTTCCCTTCCCTGTGTTTTTGGAACTGTAATGTACATATTATGCCATTATTTGTTGGTAGTATGTGATCTGTTTTTCGATTTTGGTTTTATAGGGGACTACAGAGACTATATGACTCAGAAGAGACTTTGAACTTTTGACTTTTAAACAGTGCTGAAACTGTGGTAGACTATGGGGACTTTTGAAGTTTGAATGGATGCATTTTGCATTATGATATTGTTGGAAAATTATGGAGGCCAGAGAGATATTCTTGCTAACTTTTCCTACTAGTGAAGCAGCACAGCACACAAAAGTACATGCAATGCTCTGGTTCTGATGATGTAGAAAGTTATGCCTAAGTCCGGCGGTAATTAACCCAGAGTCACTCAAACTTCCTTTACTGGACAATGTTTCTCTCCCTTTTCTACTCTGCATAAAGCTTACATCATAGGAAAGTCCACTTGGGTACAGCAGATTTTGTGTGTACTACAAAATTTTGTAAAGAAACTACTCAACCCTGGATCAAAATTTACAAGTCAGATGTGAGGCCCTTTTGAATTGTCTCTACCTTCAGTCTGCAGTTATCAATATCATCATTTCTTCCTCAGCTTCTTGGGGCTCATGAAGAATAATTTTACAAGTGGCACAGAGAGAGTTCACACTGGGGAACGTGAGCTTTGTGCCATAGACGGCACTTTAACCAAGGAGACAACCCAAAAAAGGAATGGCTAGATTGCTTTAACAACAATTTTGCTATAAAGCAGAAAGAGGTGTTTGGTGACTTAAATAACTCAGGTTACTGCTGTGCACATGTGCAGAGGCTGGACTGACACGGTTCCTGCCATGGACAACACCGTCCCTGCCATAGCTCTGATGAAATGAACTTCACTATAAGCCTAGGATGGATGGTCTTTCTGAGGAAGCACTGAAAACGCTCAGGGACACATTATTTCAGGGTCACCATCTCACAGTCAGAGATGACAGTCGATGGGACCTGGAAGCCCCAAGACAGATCTCTGCATTCCAGATGCACATGTAAACATTTAAAACATACACGTGTTTTCAGATTTAGGATTCATTCAGGGTAATCATAGCAAGCATGCAGATTCCATGTTTTCTGGGGCAAGTTTTATTCAGATCACAAGTTTTCTCTGATAAACTTTATGTGTGAAGGGTGAAAAAATTGTATGAAGTTCTCAGTAATGATTATATAAATACTTATGTGATACTTTCTGCAGTAATTCTAATTTTCTATATTTCAGCAAGGCAAAAGCCATACCATCTTATAGGAGATAACCATATGTGTGTTTTGAGCACAGGTAACTTTGTCCTATTAATAGCTGCACCTTTATTTGTCACACACACGAATGAGACTTTAGCTCTTACAAAGCGGGGACATTGTCATTTGGTTTTTACATTAGAGAAGTACTTTCCTTCAGCCTGAGCATCTTCCGGTCCATCATCCCGCAGACGCTCCAGGACGGACTGGCTGTTGACGACACATCGCGGCAGGGTAGATGCCTGCCTCACACTCATGCTACTCAATGGAAGCCTCCAATTATAAAATAAATAATGGGCGGACTTTATCTTAGCTAATTCCATTTTTGGAGTAAATATCAATTCAGGATTCTATTCTGATAGTAGAATTTGGAACTTAAGTTTTGTTCATTTTGCAATAACGTGACATATTTATTTATAATAGTTAATTTCTTATCTTTAAATTGTATTTTTAAAGTTCATCAAAAGACTATTTTAGGTCATTCTGCATTTTAGAATATTTTCCACAATATAGACAACCCTGTCTTACTAAGTCCTCCTAGTCCGTGTTTAGTGTCCCCTTTCCTCCATTTTACAGTCTGATGCTAAGAGCTGAGGACCAGGCTGCCCCTCGTGCTCTCTCTCTCTGTCTTCATGGTGCACAGCATGGTGGTAGACAGAGCGGCCTACTGACCGTGTGAAGGCCACGTGAAAGACCATGCTGTCACATACAGCGCTGGCTTTTCTTCTCCTTAAGAAGGCTTTTGTGTTTCCAGTGAGAATGTTGAGGGAAAAAATAATGTGGAATGCCAAATTCTAGAATTTTCTTTTATTTTTCCAATGAAAACAAAATCCTAATGCAGACCTAAAAATGTTAAACGACAAAGTCCATACACAACAGAGATTAAGTACTTAGTTCTTTTTTTTAAATACTTAGCTCTTAAATACTTCAAAATATTAAATAAATAGTTTAAAGTATTAATACTTTAAACATAAAATGCTGGCTTTTTGAAAAATATTAAAATATGGCAAAGAAATACACTAAGATTATTTTGTAGAAAACAGGAAGTTAACTATTGAAATAACAACCATGTATTGTGGATTAGTTTCCCCTTGCTTCTGAGAACGTGTCCCACATCATGGCTGAGGCAAACCTCAAGCTCACACTGAGCCTCCTGTCTTTGTTACCTAAGCTCTGGGAGTGCAGCCTAACAGTCCCCTAGAAATTAAAGGCTTTTCATGTCTTTGGTTTTTTTTTTTTTTTTTTTTCGAGACAGGGTTTCTCTGTGTTAACAGTCCTAGCTGTCCTGGAACTAGCTCTTGTAGACCAGGCTGGCCTCGAACCTGCAGAGGCTGCCTATGTCTTTTAACTAATATCCAAACCAACAGGATCTCATGACAAAAATTTTCAAAACTCACTATATAAATGCTAAGATAAAACAAACTAAACCAGTGTGGGTTTCAAGCCACAGTGCTTTGAAGCCTCTTTGGTTTTCAAACCTGGTGGGGACCTCTGAAGATGTTTGGTTGTCTACGCTGTCTTCCCAGGCTTACAGTGACCTTGCCAGGATGTCTTTGTACCTAGCGAGCCTGATGCCTAGTCATTTACTCCTTAAAGCCTCTCAGTGGGCCAGCTTGAATTGTACAATTTGCTTAATGTATCAAATTCACAAGGCAACAGTTTGGCATCTTCCCTGGGGTGCACTCCCCCGACTCTGTGCACCCCAGCCCCTCCGCCAATCCTGGCACCTACCCTGCCTCTCCGCAGCCTCAGCCCTGGTCAGGTAGTGGTAGAAATTGTCCAGCTTGTCCGGCTGCTCCTCCAGCGGCCTCTGCATCCAGAAGAGGGACCGCACCTCAGCAGCGTGCCGCAGCGCGTCCCACTGCTCCATCAGGGCGAAGAGCTCAGTGAAGGACTTGTGGTAGCCATCGCGCAGCATGTCCACACAGATGCTCTTCTTGTATGAGTTCCTGTGGCTGGGAGCATGAGCAGAACATAGGACACTTTAGAGCTCCAAACACCAGCACTCAGAGCACATTTTCTTACATGTCAAGACATCTTTGCAGCAAATCAAGCATCTTCAGCTTAATGCCGGATGCCTGGTGCTTACCTAGAGTCATTATGTTATGTTTGAAAAGGACAAATAAAGTTATGTTATGTTTGAAAAGGACAAAGTTATGTTATGTTTGAAAAGGACAAAGTTATGTTATGTTTGAAAAGGACAAAGAAGCCACCTGACTATTCAAAAGTTCTCCATACACTACCCCAGATCCACACCAACTTAGTCAATCATGCTTCTTAATTGTACACTAAATATCTACATAATCTTTTACAGGTAAGACAAAATAAATGACTTGATAATGCAATTCATAATAAGTAGATAAGCAAATCAAAATTCACTTTCTAGCTCTGCACTGGAAAGCTGAGGAAGGAGATTTACTCGTTTAAGTTCAACATGGACAACACAATATGAGCCTGTCTCAAAAGATAAAAGCCAATTAAAACCTCCCCAAATGTACTTCATGATTCATCTGCAGGGATAAAGAGACAGATGATTTTCCCATGTGTTTATTCAGCAAATCCCCATCAGTTTCTTATGATGAGCTATTTCCTTCTTTTCCATTGTCTTGTGTGGGTGTGACGTGCATGTGTGTTTGCATGCGTGCTGTTTGCATGTGTAGGCACAAATTCACGTGTGTGCTGAGGATGACGTCAGGAGTCATCCGTGATTCTTTTGAGCCTTAGTCTTTGAGGCCGTCTCTAAGTCGAGCCCAGGCCTCACAGATGCAGCCCATTTGCTCTGCAGATTCTGAACCAAAGACTGGCTGATACACTCGCCTGAGGCGGAGCCGTCATGACGTGACTTCTTCGTGTTCCATTTCCTTCCTGTGTAAAAGTCAGCACTAACCATATTGCACGGCTCTTCTAGGACCTGTGCGGTGAAGTACGTGCAAACACGTGGGAAACACAAACCCAGGATGCTGGCTCTCGCCTCTTAGCTACGCCTTGGATTCACCTATGGAGGTTCAAAAACAAAACAGCGCAAGCTCCACCCACCAAGACTACTAACTGCGGAGGAGGAGCCTGGCTCTCGGCCCTGTTAACAGGGGTAACTGCAGAACCTGGCCCTGGTCCGTGCTAACACAGGTAACTGCAGAGCCTGGCCCTGGTCCGTGCTAACACAGGTAACTGCAGAGCGTTGTTATTGCTGCGCTGGACTTGGAATGTGGAGTACTGAGTGTGCTAGGCAGGCACTTTACCACTGAGCTCCACCCCGTACACACGACTGCATTTGAGAAGTGTCTAGGAGTCCCGGATGAGCTTGAACTGTGGTCCCTTCCATCTGACCGCCAGATTACTATAGAGTTTGCTGATGTAGAGAATGGAGAAACCATCTTTCTAAGCCAAAAGATCAAGAGCCATCATGTGATAGGAGATTAAGACACTCGGCATGGGGCAGAGAAGAGCAGCACGGGATTTCTTTTCCCTGTCCTGTCCTCTGATCCGGTGAGAAGAGCACGGGATGGAAGGGTTAACGGTGAGGCTGTGAACGGGAACGGGCCAGGTCCTCCTTCCCTTCCCTCTCTCCCTCAAACAGTACACTGGAAATGGAATTCAACTTCTTGCAACATCCAGCAAACCAAGATGGCAGCAACTGTACCCATCTCTCTCATGGGATGCTTTGAAGGTACAAAGCTGACCATGGTCTCCTTGTCCCCCTCCACTCCCAGGACAGTGCATGGGGAAATGACCAACCATCAGGACATTGGCCATCAGCTGAAGGCAGCTGGCCCCTTAATTTCTCAAGGCTCTAAACTAATATGGGAGGAGTGCCATATCATTCCGGGAGCTCTGTGTACCATCCCTAACTCAGTTCCCGGAGAGGGTTACCATTCCTGCCACCATATTTTCAAATGGTGGCAAGGTGTGTATGCAGAAAGACTTTAGGCATACAAACCATAGAGGCTGCTCACAGGTACAGCCATGACACAGGGAACACTGGAAAGGTCTGGTGGCTCAGGCTAGCTCATCTGAAGAGCGGATGGAGCAAAACTTGGTCAGGTGCACCAGAGATGGTCATCCCTGCAGGAACCCCAGGTCAGGAATACATTCAGTCAGAGAATTTACCTCCCAGGGTCTTAGAAAATCAAAGCTCCTAATTGCTGCTATTGCCACACAGCCAAAGGTCTTGTTGAGTGGCCTGGTGAATTCAAGGTGAGGTCTCTAGGATTCTCTTGTTGTTTGTCCCCAGCTGAGCACTCTCAGGCCGCCACAAGCCCAGCCTGCCTGTTCGCTGTTACTTTACCCAAGAGCAGAAAGGAGAATGCCGTGTGGCGTGGCTGTGCCTTTCCTTACCAGGAAAACAAAAGCATTCTTGAGAAGAGCAAATCCCTGTTTGTGTCTCATTGGTCAGAACTGTGTCAGATGCTACCCTGTTAAGATTCAGGGAGTTTGCCTCAGCTTGGGCATCCTGCTAGAGCAAGGAAGAGTGGGGACTGGGAAGTTAAATGCAGCAATAGGTGCAAGGCCCCCGATCAAGGCCTGGAAGCATACACTGTCACAGCCTGTCACTCACTTGCCCAGGTTGCCAGATAAGATCCAGTTCAAATTGAATGCCAGAAAACAATAAATGATTTTTAAAAAGTATTAGAATGACCTAGATATTGCATCAGATATATTTAGACTAAAAGGTAACTTTCTGAGTTACCTTTTATATAAAACAGAACCTTCATATACTTATGCTTGCTGGACCAGTAATTTTATTCCCCTTTGAATCTCACAGTGCAATGTTTTTTTTTCCATTATGGGGGCATAGAATGGGGGAGGGAGTGACTTTTGCATTTTGTACAATCTAAGAGATCACTGGACTGGTCTGGCTTCTTCTGAGTGACAAGATTTGACACCAGGGAGGATTAAGTCTCAGGGCCAGAAATTAAAATGAGATTCTAAAAATATAAAGACTTTCAATTTAGTAGTCCCGAGAAGGGATGGAGGAGGCTAAGCCTGGAAGCAGAGAGGAGAGGAAGATTGCTGGTCATGAGCAAGGAAGGCTGTGGGGCTGGAGCCAGGCAGTGGTGGTGGACGGTCAGGAGAAGTTGTAAATAGGATCACCTGCGAGCACACACCCATCGCTTTTCCCTGGGACACCCTAGACAAATCAGCCAATCAGGCATCCTGAATCTTAGAAATCCCTCACCCCTACCAGTGCTATTATAAAAACCCCAACCGCAACTGAGCTCGGGGCTCTCCATCACTCAGAGAGTCCAAGTTTGCAAACTTGTATGAGAATAAAGGCTTTTTGATTTTACAGAAAGGACTCGATCCCCTAGTTGGTTTTGGGGGAACTTTGTGATCTGTGTATAACAGTTACCAAAATCCTTGCAATATGGTCTTTTTCACTTAATTTAGTCAAGATGAGTTGCTGCTCCCTCTGGGGCCAAACTGTGAAAGCTTCGGAAGGCTGGGCTGAGGTTGTTTCAGTTCTCAGTCTCCAAACATCCACAATATAGAATTAATATCCATTTCAAAAACGTCTATTGTTTAAATTTCCATTCTTAACAAAGACATTTCAAAAGACAATATTTCAATGTGTTTATATTGAATATATCTATGCTTACATCATTTCCATATTGCACATTTTTACATCTGTGCATACATATACACCGCGAAATAAGCCTGATTATTAATACTTAAGATAAAGAAAAAACAGTAATGCCAACTTACTAAGTAGACTCCTATTCAAACTTTCATAGCTGATGTAAGTTATTTACCTGCCCCAAATCTTTATTTCCTCAAATGACTTGGCTGCCTGAAAGTAAAAATGTATGTCACTTCTCATCTGTATATTTGAAATTTCCAGGTTTCCTTTTTCTTTTCTTTCATTTTTTTTGTTTGTTTTTAAGGCAGGGTTTGTCTGTGTAGCCCTGACTGTCCAGGAACTTGCTCTGTAGACCACACTGGTCTGGAACTCACAGAGCTCTTTCTGCCTCTGCTGGGATTAAAGGAATGTTCACCACCATGCTGAGGTTTACTGTTTCTTATTAGAGAACTATAAGCAAAGTTCACTTCTCTCATGGAAATATTTTTTTAATATAAAGACAATAGAGTTTTGTCATTTTGATCATTTTTTCTTTGTCCCTATCTGTTTTACTCCTTAATTTCAGTGACACACAAAATAATTAAAAATATTGGTCTAAACTAAAATATGCTACTTTCAGGCATCAGAAAAGCACTTTGTGCAGGAGAAATGAGGAATCCTGGAGATGTCATGAAGGTATGTCATTTTCCATCAGTGCTGCTGCTGCAACCAATCTACTGCTGTTTCAGCCAGAAACTAATCTCAGCTCAGCAGTTACTGGCCAGCTTCTCAGACAAGTCCTGCTGCACCCTCCTCCCACCAATGCCACCAAATGTAGTTTTTAATTAATCTCTATTATTCCATTTATGAATAAGACTCGGGAGTGAGAGGCTGGGGTGAAAACCTACAAGCTCACCAAGGTTGAGTAGCAAGCAGCTGACCTTCCCTCTTCACGAACATCTCCGAAAAAGAGCCTCCCTTCTGCTCCACCAAACCAAAAATGACTGCCACACTCAAAGTCCCTCCTACTACTTCCTCCGTGTCTCTGTCTTCCAGACTCCCTCTGACTCTCTATGATTACTTTCTGTCAACTAGCTGCAGGTTCCGACTTCTGATCCAAGGTGATTTTATTTAATTAACACAAGTAACAAACTAGGGGTTCACAGTGTGATGAAATATCCCGCAACATAGGGATTTAATATCATGGAATTTGAGGCGAATTGCTCACAGAAAACAAATGTCATGGAAATAAAAGTGGGGATATTCATGAACACACCAACCATCTATATAAAATCTGGGATTCTATCACTGCAGGTACAGAAGACTTCCAGGGCATATGGGCTAGTATTTACACCAAGTGAACAAAAGCTAGAGCGTCATCTGAGGAGGGAACCTCAG